GAAATAGTAGGGAAAGTAGATTTATACTCAGATATTATAATAATAATTCTGCTTAGACTCTACCTAGCCCTTTGCGGTGATCACAATATTGAGTATTGGGTGGATACCAACCAGGCACTGAGCTACTATATTGGGACAGAGGTTTGTATATAATTTAGGAATTTGCAGGATACTACAGAATGTATGATTTTGTCTCAACTAAAGTCTAAGCAGGAACTACCATGATTCTTCAATTCTAGAAACTACTTGGTTTACCTGTACACATTCCTGATATTAGAATGCATCTCACACAGTGTGCAAACTGACGGTGGCAGTGTTTCTTCCCACTCCCACACCCCCCAAAAAGACAAACAGCACTATTAGTAAGTTGGTGGTGAATTTAACAATGGATGGCATCTTAGAGTGGAAAAAAGTTACAGCTCTTTCTAACCAAATTTATTATACATATGTTATTTAAAAAAACAAAAAACTGTTGCTGTCTAGTCAATTCTGACTCATAGCAACCCTATAAGACAAAGTAGAACTGCTCCATAGGGTTTCCAAGGAGCAGCTGGTGGATTTGAACTGCCAACCTTTTGGTTAGCAGCCATGGCTCTTAACCACTGCACCAGGAGGGCGCCACCTATGCTATAGATACAATATGAAGAATGCTCGGGTTAGGTGGTAATAGAGAGTCACAGCATAGCATTACAGGCATTTCTGGGCTTAGTGATTCATTCAGTCAAACAGTATTTTTATCATTTTTCTAGAACTCAATAAGCCTTCAACACTTAAGATCTCAGTTAAGGTACACAGAGGCTTCTAAAATGGACCAAATTGATTCTAGGCATGTCATTAAGGGTATTGTGATGGTTAATGTTATGTGTCAACTTGGCTAAGCTATGATTCTCAGTGGTTTGGCAGACGCTATGTAATCACCTCCCATTTTGTAATCTAATGTGAGCAGCCAATCAGTTGGAAGAGGAGTTTCCATGGGGTGTGGCCTGCATCCAGTATATAAACAGATGTTCTGGCAAAAGCTTGCTCTCTCTCTGACCCTGCAATCTTCTCGGCATCTGACCTCTGGTTCTTGGGACATAAGCTAGCAGTGGCCTCCAGCCTGTTACCTGACCTGCCAGTTTTGGGTTCATCAGCCCCTGCAACCACATGAGCCAGCAGAGGTTGTCAGCCTGTTGTCTGACCCTCGGATTTGCGACTGGCCAGCCCCTACAGTTGCACAAGCCATTTCCTCACAATTGGGTGAGCCATTTCTTTGAAGTAAACCTCTCTCTATACATATGTATATCTATGTATACTTCACAGGTTTTGCTCCTCTGGAGAACCTGGACTAAGACAGTTGTGCACAAGTTCTTTAGTGAAGAACAGGAAACTGACTTCAAAGCTATTTTTTATAGCTCCTTTTATATAATCACATGTATAATAAACTGCCTCACGATTCTTATTCCAAAGGGTAGATTGGTCATTTTCAACATATCCTATTGCCATTTGCTGAATGTTCTCAAATAATATGTCATTATGTATTCTATATCATTATGTTTTATGGTGTTGGCAAAGAATATTGAATATACCATCAACTGCCAGAAGAATGAACAAATCTGTCTTGGAAGAAGCACAGCCAGAATGTCCCTTAGAAGCAAGAGGATGGCGAGACTTCATCTCACATACTTTGGACATGTTATCAGGAGGGACCAGTCCCTGGAGAAGGACATCATGCTTGGTAAAATAGAGGGTCAAAGAAAAAGAGGAAGACTGTCAAGGAGATGGATTGGCACAGTGGCTGCAACAATAGACTCAAACATAGCAAGATTGGGAGGATGGGGCAGGATCAGGCCGTGTTTCCTTCTCTTGTACATACGGTCACTATGAGTCGGCAACAACTCGACAGCAACCCAACAACAACAATAATATAGAGAGCCCTCGTGGTGCAGTGGTTAAGTGCTCAGCTGCTAACCGAAAGTTCAGCGGTTTGGACCCACCAGCCACTCCAGAGGAGAAAGATGAGGCAGTCTGCTTCCATAAAGATTTGCAGCCTTGGAAACCCTATGGGGCAGTTCTACTCTGTCCTATAGGATTGCTGTGCATCAGAATTAATTCAATGGCAATGGGTTTGTTTTGTTTTTATGGATTATATATGACGATGCTTGAAGTGAGACTTTTTGGTGATTAGTCAAGATGGTTGGACCTAGAATTGGAAAAACCGGGTGAACCTTGCTTACTCTCGTACTTTGTCTTCAGAATAGGGTGTCACTGTATCCTTTTATTCCTTCATATGAAGCACTTCTGTCACTATGCACTATAATTACAGAACATCTGGAACTTATGCAAATGCTGTGGGTATGTACTCAGCTGCCACACCATGTCCCCAGATCGACTGCAAACACAGAGAACCAGTTTAGTCCTATCCACTTACCTCGTGTAGGCTGCATGCAGTAGCTTACTGAGATAGATCGATGTTTGTATGGATTCTATAAATTGCTGCTGGATTTCAGCTTACTTTTGAGACTTCTGGAAATTTTGAATGCCCTTTTCTATCCACGGGACAGAGGAGTGTTCAAACTTCAGTGGGATTCAAAAAGGCTGTATTCCATTTGGACTGAAGTTTCCTTTAGAGATGGTAGGGTGAATCATCCATCATAGGCTAGAGTTACTGAATGCATCTTCTTGACTTTGGAGTCTGTTATACCCAAATTTGCTGCACTCTCCACCCAGTCTTTAAAATCTCTCAGAAACAAATTGGCACAAGCCATTTGGTGATACAAGCATCTGGTAATTCTTGTCCTAGGATATTCTTAGTAATCCAACTTGAATCTATCTTCTCATGGAATATACCTTTGTCTCCTGTCATACATTTTAAACAGAAAAAGGTATGTGTTGATTCTTCTCAGAGTTAATAATAGCAAGTCCTTGCTTGGTATTTTGTCTGTAAGACTAACATCCCCCAACAAATCAGTTTCAGGACATTGTCTTCCTAGTGCATATTTCTCACACATGGATTATTTTTATTATTTGTCTCTGGACTGTCTCCGGGTTTCTTCTTTCTTACTTCACATGGTGGTTGCCAGAACAAAATACAGTCTTCTTATGAGAATGATTAATCCTTGAGCAAAAGATACTATTACCACTGGAATTGTTTTCTCTTTGTGGAAGGGGACTGGGTTTGGAGTTACATAATGTGGATTCCAGTCCCCCCACTGATTTACATGGACTTAAGTAAGTCTTAATAAACTCTGTTGGAAGCATTTTCCTTAATGGCAAATGGGGATTGTTATTCCCTCTGTGGCTATTTAACAGCTATGGTGTAAGGATACAGTTAGGTAGAAGATATGAAAGTGCTTTGGAAAAAGTTAAAATCCCTACACAAATGTGAAAAAAAAAAAAGTTTTAGAAACTTAGATCATTTGCCTAACCTTCATTTCTCCAGGGCTGAGAATGCATTTTTAAATCGTACTTGTGATTTATGTCATAGGATCTTTTTAATCATCAGATTAAAGGATTTCATGAGAGCTGCCACTGTTAATTTTATAACAGCATGCTGTACGACCAGTCCAGCCTTTAAAATTTTGATTGTCCTCTTTTGACTAAAGACTGCTGGAGGAGTTTACAATTCTTTCTTCCATATTCGCAGGGCGTAGACCAAAGTGTGTCAGGCAGCCACACGCTTCATTAAAAGACTTAGACTGAGCCTAATCCATACTTACGATTTAATTACTGGCAGAAATTATGTGTGACTATTAAATTTGAGGTCTAACCTTTTCTGTATATCATAAGTCTAGGTCACCAAGGCAACTCTGTGGAGGGTTAGTCTAAGTGGTTTCTTACCCAGCTATTTAGTAAATAACTTGTAAGTCTAGTATTATTATCACTGGAGTGTCTTTCATAAAATTTTTTTTCTTCATTCAAGTCCTTTCCTTTTCCTCCCTTCTTTTTTAAAAAACTGTTGTGTAAATGACATCTAGTAAGATTTACCCAAGGAGCCCTAGTGGCACAGTGGTTAACCACTTAGCTGCGAATCGAAACGTCAGCAGTTCAAACCTTGGGAGAAAGATACGGCAGTCTGCTTCCATAAAGATTACAGCCTTGGCAACCTGATGGGGCAGTTCTACTCTGTCCTATAAGGCCTGTATGAGTCGGAACTGATTTGATGGCAATGGGTTTAAGATTTACCCAGTGGCTCCACAGGAGAAAGACCTGGTGATCTGCTCCCATAATGATTACAGACAAAAACAACCCTATGGGGCAGTTCTACTCTGTCACATGGGGATGCTATAAGTCGGAACCAACTTGACGGCACCCAACAACAACATTTACCCCAAGTAGCGTACAGCTCAAAAAATTCCCTCTCTGCCTTTTCTTTAATGCATTTCAGTGCTAGCCACAGCTCTGCCTCAACCAAACCCAAGCTTATCTTCTCTGAATGCAGCCTTAACATGGGGGATTATCTACTCACTTACAGTCGGCTCTGATTAGCTCTTGTCCTTCACCAAAGATTTTAAGCAGAATTGTAAAATTTCTAGTCTTGTTGAGGCATCTGTCTATAACTGTGTGAAACCTTGTCAGAGGATGGGGTGGAGGGATGATCTGCATTCTTTGTAATATATGGAAATGGGGTTTTTATCTCAGCATGCATTCCGCTTCAGAACTACTCAGAGCTATAAAGTCTGGAGACATGCTTTGATCTATGCTATCCTAATCTTTTACTCAAGACTTTCTACTGTCAATTACTCAATGCGAGGCCATCACCAAGATTGCATTAAGTGTTTTAAAATGAATCATTTAAAAGTAATGATTAAGCCTCTGTGTCAATCGGGATTCATTACATTATGCTGCAGTCACAATCAACCCCAAAACCTCAGTGGCCGAACAGCAAAGAGGCATATTTCTAACTCATGTTGGATGGCTAATGATGGAGCTCAGCTCAGTCTTGTTGCACAGGAGCTGAGGATGGAGGAGTTTCCATCTCATCTGTGCCTCCATGATTGCCATGATGGCGTGAAGGGAACATGACCATCCCGAGCTGGCTTTTAAAACTTCTTCTCATGAGTGATGTAAGTTACTGCCACTTACATTTCATTGGCCACCAAGTTGCATGGCCATGTGTAACTTCAACAGGGTCAAGGAACTGCAATCCCCCATGTGCCTGAAGAAGGAAGTACAATCCCCTATGTGCCTGCAAAGATCAACCAGAAAAGGTGTGACAAGCCCTCTTGAGAGGTGTGTTTAAAACAAAGAATTAACAAAGATATGCAGATGGGTCATCAGTTTAAAATATTAGCCACCCATAAAGATATGTGTCCATTTGAAAGCTCTGATATTCTAAAAAATATAATCAAAATTGTAGTCCCACTTTGGGAAAAAATACAATTTTAACATGATGACATGTCCTATCGTGTTTTTTTTTCCCCCGATATTATTTTCTCATCAGATGCTTTGCTAAGCCAAGAATTTTTCTTGTCTCATTCATGTTGGTTCCTTTTAAATATACGATGATGAAGCTACGTGTACTCCAAGTTTTAGTCCTTTATTGGGTATGTTACACAGCTGTGACTCAACTGTGATGCTCACAGACTGTTATTAAGCCTCCGTAACGTATCTTTATTTTCTGATAGACTCGCCAGCATCAACGAGCCAGTAATAGCAATTGCAACTGCAGGGACTGTGGAATTCCATCTGGAGGTAGGTCACAGACATGCCAAGTCCTGAGGTGGCATCTGGACTGCAGAGAAATAAGAAATTCTGGGCCAGTTTCACAGGGAGGAATGGAAGAGACCACAATTACACAGAAAGCAGTATTGCATTATCCCTGACAGTCTACTTTATTTTAAAATATCATCAAGAGCGAAGCCTAGTATTTATTCAAACAGTTACTTCTCGAAAAACCTCACCAGGCAGGTAAGCTGCTTGTGGTAGCCTGGCACCTAACCCTGGAACAGAGAAAAGGAGCTTTGACTAAGGCCGTTCATCACACTCCGTTTCCTTTTGCTGAAAGTCACAGGACAGCCTTATATCCACACGTGCCAGCAGAGGAACACTTTTAAAGTCTTATCTTAAAGACTCCTTCAGAGAATCACTGTCATCCCAGAGGAGCTTCAGAGACTGTCAATGTCTAATCCTCTTTTCTCTACTGAGAACACACTTCAACTGTTTATCAGGAAAATACTCTCCAGTCAACTCCATCATAGCTACGATCTTTACTGACTCAATTTGGGAGACATTTATTGAGCATCTACCTTGCACTACAGGGTTTTAATGCCTTAATTCATTTTATCAGTTTGTTAAATATGTATTAGAAAGTTCTTATTTCACTGATTGAGAACCGGAAGCCCAGATTTGGGGCTAGAAATATAAAAGTCTCCTATGGTTCATTAATTCAGGATTCCTACTGCCAGGCACTGCAGGAGCAGATACAGCCCTATTATCAGGAACTCTACAGTCTACTTGGGAGGAAAAGACAGACAAAGAGTTATAAATGCATATTACTTTGTATGCAGAAGGCAATCACATTTAACATTTTTAAAGTTCTTAATATATGTAGGCATTGTTTCTGGTGCCATTTTAAAAATTTCCTTTATTTCTAAAAAATTTAAAAAAAAGATTAACATTATTACTATCCCAAGTTTCATACGTAAGGAAACTATAGTTTAAAGATGTTAAATAACTTTCCCCAAATCCTCAGCTAATAAATGGTGAGCCAAGGATTGAATCCTAAGTCTGATTCCAGATTCAGGCTCTTATACAAGGTGGGCACAAATAAGAGCTGCAAGTTTCTGTGGGTTCCAAGGAAGTATGGGTTCCTACCGTTTATATCAGATGGTCTTTCAGTATCCCTTCCACATTCTTTACACTCCTCCTTGACTCTGTTCTGTTTATTTTCTAACATACTGTGTTATTTTTAATTTATCGGTGATTACTGTCTGTCTCTGCCACTCTCCACTCTTCTCCCCAAAACCGGAATGTGAACTCCATGCAGGCAGGGTCTTTGTTGTATTCACTGTGATTACCAAATGTGTAGACTAATGTCGGGTACATAGTAAAAACCAAACTGAACATGTTGCCATTGACTCCCACTCATGGGAACTCCACATGTTACAGAGTAAAACTGCTCCGTAGCATTTTCTTGGCTGTAATCTTTATGGAAGCAGATTGCCAGTCCTTTCTTCCATGGCACTGCTAGCCTTTAGGTTAGTAGTGGAGCCAAACTGTTTGTGCCACCCTGGAACCTTGGCACATAGTAATGACTCCATACATATTTGTCAAATTTAGTACATTTAATACCTTAACTGGGAGAATGCCAGCTAGTAGGCATATTAGCATTTTCAAATGATTATGGGATTTTAGGTTCACAAATGGGGACAAAGAACTCTACCCAAGATGAGCAGCCTTTAAAATCTGAGTGTGACCAAGACTATATTAGAAATATATGAGTATATATACATGAGTTGCTGGTGGTTGAGATATCCAGTGATGGTGTCCATATGTAATGGAAGAGGAAAGCTATTCGACTTATATGTCTTTTATACAACTTACCTCTTGAATAATATTTTCTTCTTTTAGGGAAAGCTTCAAAGTAATTTGAGGAATTTTTGCTTTGCCCTTGCCTTCCCAATCTGTGCCTTCAGCCATAGCCATTAGTAATTTGTTGACACAGCATTTTCTCTGTTTTCACTTCCTGTTAATGGCAGAGTCGCTGACTTTCACTGTTGGTGACCAGATACTTTCTAGTGAACTTTTTTTACTGAATGCGTTTAGGCAGGGTGTTGTGACTGTCCACCTGGTTTTCTGTGTAGATCAGCAAAGAAAGCAGAGAATGGCCATATCTGCTGCTTAGGTTTCAGTACCACAGAAACCAACATAACAGTGGGGTTGTGGAAGAAACCATCCATTCTGAGATTTGAAACTACCTAAGTCTACCAGTAACAAATAAGACCTGAAATGTTATTTTGTGGATAAGAATCAACATAAATCCAATCCCCGAAATGTGGAGATTAATCAAATCCTCCCACTTTCCCACTTTTTAATCATCTCTGGCTCCAACCGCCCACGTGGCACTCTCTCTCTCTCTGCCTCTAGCCACCCGGAGCTAGGTCGGAGCTCCCATGTTCTTCAGACTGACAAATAGGCAGACACCAGCTGCAAACCCAGGAATCCACATGATACCCTTACTTCTAACTTGCTGGCTGCAAATTTAAGGTTTTTCCACTACCCTTTCACAATGCCAGCCGCAAGCCTCAAGGGCCTCCCATGGGCTGCCTCACTTTCACCTGATGGCTCCCATTACTCCGATAATTCACTGGAATGAGTCTTAGAACACACAGAAAGTACTATACTTACAATTACTGATTATAGCAAAAGAATACAAATCAGGATCATTATAAAGAAGAGATGCCATGGGTGAGGTCTGGGAGGGTTCCCAACATAGCGCCTCCATATCCCAAAGAGGGCGAGTCCCCCTCCCTTTGCCAACCAGGAAACTCCTGGTGCCTTCATGTTCAGAGCCTTTGTTGGCTCATTATGTGGTCTGATTGAGGCCTTATTGCACATGCATGATAGGTTAAATCATACCTCCTGAGCTTAGTTGATGTTGTTTACCAGGTGGTCTTTCTGGCTTGGCTAGCTCCCATTAATTAGTACAAACCTTGAGGTGTGATTTAGATAACAAAGGCACTTCAATTACTCAAGAAATCCCAAGAGTTTAGAGTTATTCCCTCAGGAAACAGGGCAAGACCATATTACTTTAGGTAAACTTAAATTCTTTATAGCACAGCTATTCATTTCTTTTAGGAATGGCTGTCTCATCTCTGAGATGTATGAGATACTGGAAGCCTTCTGGGCTCCATAGAAGATAATGTTGAAGATAGTGGACTCTGTCAGAAGTAACTAGCGGATTTCCATTCTTTGTCTCTTATCATCTGTGTGGTGAAGGGATTAGGAATGAGGTTGGAGTAGTTATTTTTTAGTCTGAGTTCGGGCACACTGGTACTTTGAGCTGTTGAGAAACATTAGAGATAATTTCCTGAGGGATGGCAGTTCAAGATACAATAGACAGTCCAAAACAAGATCACCAACTCTAGGAGGCTAGATAAGAAGTGTCCACCTAAGCAAGAGTTACAATTGGATGAATACTTATGCTTCCTATACAAGCTTTTATGTGTATGTCAGGTGCATATATATTGATCTGAACAGAATGAATAGTATCTTGACTAGCAGAAAGAAAATGTCATGTCCTGCTCACTGAAATGACATGCAACAGAGACATTCTCATTGTCACCTCCCCTGGAAAAACCCTGGGATGTTATATTTTAACCAAACCCAAACTTCTTTTCATTTATCTCTTCCTATTTCCTTCCACTGTTAACAGTAAGGATTCCACTAATGGGCTTGTGAGCTCAGATACATAGGAAAAGAGAGTCCAGCTCCCTTACCTCAAATCTGTGCATCTTGGGATCAGTAATTTTTAAACTAAATGCCAAGGATTCTACTAATGTACTTTGGAAAATAAACATCTTAACAGAAACTACAGAATCTTTGCAAAGAATAGACTCTGGTATACTATACTACACTTTTAGCAAATCACCTAGCGTTCACTAGGTGGCCCTATTCATTGCTGCCTAGTGAGCATTAGGTGATGCAATCTAGAATACTACTTGATGGCTGGTAGCACAAGGCAGAGCTTCCTGAGCAAGTTGGATCACTCTTCACTGGATTATTGAGGTATACAGTGTTATATATGCTCTTCCAGTATATAGTCGTAGATCTCACTGACACAGATGAGTGCTGTTGTTGTTAGTTGCCACCGAATGGGCTCCAACTTATGGTGACCCTGTGTACAACAGAGCAAAACATTGCCTGGTCCTGTGCCATCTTCATGCTTCGGTCCATTGTTGCAGCCACTGTATTTTGAGCACCTTTGAACCTACATCTTTCAGCAGTGTATTGGGCAATATTCTGTTGTGATTCATAGTTTTTTCGTTTTGTTTTTTAGTTGTGGTATATATAAAACTGAAAAAAATCAAACCCATTGCCATAGAGTCATTTCTGACTCATGGCAACCCTGTAGGACAGAGTAGGACTGCCCCATAGGGTTTCCAAGGCTGTAATCTTTATAGAAACAGACTGCCACATCTTTCTCCCATGGAGTGGCTGATGGGTTCAGTCTGCTGACCTTCGGTTAGCAGCTGAGCGTTTAACCACTGTGCCACCAGGGCTCCTTTAGTAAATATATATGTAATAAAACATTTGATATTTCAACATTAATTATATTCATCATATTGTCTATCCGTCGCCCTTAGCCATTCTCAGATTATATCATCACCCTTAACAGAAGCTCAGTGACCCCTAAGCTTGAGTCCACTTTTCCCTGTCCCTCCCATCCACTCCTGGTAACCACTATAAACTTTAGTCACTTTTACACTTACCTATTCTCGGGTTTTCATTGGCTAATTATTGGAAGTAGATCACCAGGCCTTTCTTCCTAGTTTGTCTTACTCTAGAAGCTCTGCTAAGACTTATCCACCATGGGTGACCTTACTAATATTGAAATACCAGTAGCATAGCTTCCAGCATCTTAGCAACATGCAAGCCACTACAATGCAATAGAGTGACAGATGGACAGTGGACACAGAGTACAAGTGAGTTGATATTGTAGTCAAACCCACATTCCTGCATGCCCAGTGGCA